CAGGCTCACCTTAGTCTTCAAAGTGACTTCTTTGCTTTTTAACACTTTAAAGAAGTCTTTTTGCAGCAGATTTGTCCAATGCAATACTGTATGTCATTTGGTTTCTTGATGGCTGCTTCCATGGGGGTTGATTGTGGAGCCAAGTGAAATGAAGTCCTTGACAACTTCAATCTTTTCTCTACTTATCATAATGTTGCTTTTTGGTCTAGTTGCGAGCATTTTTGTTTTCTCTATGTTGGGGTGTAATCCATACTGAAGGCTTTAACACTCATCAGTAAGGGCTTCAGGTCCTCTTTACTTTCAGCCAGCCAGGTTGTGTTTTGTACAAAGAGACACAGCAGTCCACCAGCTAGGCTTTCAAGAAAGGTCAGGAACCTTTGATCTTTGTTAAAGGGGATGAGATGAAGCTGTATAGACTTTTGTCTGTTTGTTTGTTTACTTTTCCACATGTGTGAAAGGTCAGGTAAGGCTTTCTGTTAATTGCTGAGATAAGATTTTAGAATAGTGGCCATGACTGCTGTTGCTTTGGTTATTCACATAAGTAATGGCTAAGTTTATTTTGGAATTATGATTCCACATTGCAGTGTATGATTCCATCAAAAGTTCAAAATTAAGAGAGGGGAGGGGAAGTAGCCAAAAGAAAAACTGCATAAGTACAGTGTTATTGAGACTGCTATCATGAGTTCATGAAGAACAAGAAAGTGATGAATTGTATTCAGAAAACTGCAAATGCTGGGGGTGACTGACAGAGTCCCAAAGGGCAGATAACTTTCTTCCACATTTGCAATGAAAACCAAGCTTAGCATTGCTTTTGATTTGTCCTTCTGCTGTTTATCAAATCTTTGAGAGAATTTGATGATAGGCATCTTCTCACTGGCTGTTCTTGCTCAAGATAAGAATTTTATGTTCAGATTTGTGGGTCTCTGGGCTAAAACTGATCAAATTCCCAGGGTAGATCCCCAGGTGTTGCATAATTAGTGTGCCATCTAGTCTTTAAGGTGTAAGGAAATCTGTATCTTCATGTATAAACATTTGTGTTTAATTCTTATTTGGAGTGAGATGAAAGCAAGCCAAGGACACCTGATCAAATCATCTTGTCTAAACATCTTTTAGGCATAAAGATCATAGTCTTATGAAAAGGTCATATGTACTTTCTGAAAAATAAAACAAAAAACTCTTTCTCCAAATCAGTACGCAAGTAAAATCTATCCAAGTTTTTTTAAAAAAGAACAAAAACCCCAAACCCTGCAAAGTTACAGGAAAAGGATATCTCCCAACTAACCTTCCCAAGGATTTGCTCTCAGCTAGGAGTAATTGCTGGAATCCTCTTGCATTCCAGACCACTCAGTCCACTAAAAGCCATTTATTGTTTTTGATTAAACAACAAAAATATAGTCTAAATGGGTTAAAAATTAAACTATTTGCCTTGAACGTACACACACACACACACACACACACACCAGTTGCCATTGAGTTGACTGCAACTCATGGCGACCCCACGTGTGTCAGAATACAACTCTGTCCCACTGGGTTCTCAATGGATGATTGTTTGGAAGTAGATCACCAGACCTTTCTTCCAAAGTGCCTCTGGGCAGACTCGAACCACCAATTTTTTGGTTAGAAGCCAAATGCACTACCTATCTTGAAGGCCAACTGCCAAGGGAAAAGGGAGGCACCATCTTCTGACCTCCTCTGACCCCACAAGAGGAAGACAGAATCACCATCAGTAGCCCAAGGCCTATCCCTGTGACATCAGACATGCTGCCTCCCTCCAGCCATTTCACCAACCCTGACACCAACCGTTCCTCTTGCAGCACCCACTACCTCTCTGCTGGGTTCAATAATTCACTGCAGTGGTCACACAGAACTCACAGATTATGGGGTTTATTAGGGAAGCACCAGACTACAATTCAAGTTCAGTCTCTTGCAGCCAGCTGTCTCACTCAGCAGCTGGCAGTCTCAGTAGCACACCACTCTCTCAGTTGTGTGTGTTTGGGTCTCTCTCCTCAGCAGTGCATGTCTCTTGTGTCTCTCTCTCAGCAATATGTGTCTCTCATGTCTCTCAGGAGCACGTTTATCTCAGCAGCACGTCTTTCTCAGCCAGCAGTCAGAGAGACTCCTTCTGCCTCTAGGAGGGCTCCTTTTGAGCCTGGCAGAGTGGCCAAACTAACCAATCCCAACATTAGAATCCTATACACCTGAGAGAGAGTGAACTTCCCAGAAGATTGCTTCATGCCACTGCAACAGAAATACCCCAGGTAGATAACTTTAACAATCAGGAGCTACTCAGTTGCTCATGGCAAATTGCACCATGGAGTTTACAAACACTTATGGCTAGAAAAGCCATACCAGGTAATTTATTACACCACACTCAATACATAGCACACAACACACCAGTGTAAAGAGACTGACTCATTACTGGCTATTTCTCTACAAGATGCCTAAAAGCCTAAACTTCCTTTAAATATATCTTAGTGGCTGTCATTTTGAAAGTGGTTGAGTGAAAGTCAAGGTTTAAGCACAAAGGAAAAACATTCTACTTGGTGAGAAAAAATTGATGCAAGAATTTCTCCAAAATAACTTTAGTGCATTGTAATGAATTCTTTGAAGTTATTCTTGAATGACTGAATTCATTGTCCAAGGACTCAAAGTAAGGAGTTGGAATTTCCCACTCTCTGCCATGTTACTGGGCCACAGGCATAATTCTCAAAATAACTGGCATTGCCAAGTCCCAGTGCCAGGACAGGGCACAGATTTTATATAGTTTCTCCTCCCTTAACTAAAATTTTAGTTGTTTTTGTTTTGCTTGAAATCCTCCTGGTTGTTCAGTTGTTAAAGCTGGTGCTAACTAGCTTGGATGGTGCTGGTAAGAGATGTCTGGAGAGAGAGAAATATGGTGTGTGTAAGAAGCCATGCTGTTGATTGCTGCTAATTCCCTCCACTTCCTCCTTTCCCACAGAGTCCCCTTTTTGTTGAGGCGTTCACCTTCTGGGTTGTGTGTTTAGAGTTTAAAATAATTGCTCTCCAGGGCTGATCATGAAGATGGCACAGCACCTGACAACATAAGGACACTACAAGTCACAGCAGACTCAGTGACAACTAACACAACAAACTCTCCCTGACAGATAGGCGTAGAGGTGCTGGGTCCAATGGTCACCAGTCTCTAGAAGCCAATTGTGGAAATTTCTCTCCCTCGTCTATGATGAAGACCCTAGGCAGTACAAACGGTTCACACTTGACTACTAACTGTTGTGGAAGGAGTCCTGGTGGTGCAGTGGTTAAGTGCTTGGCTGCTAACTGAAAGGTTGGTGGTTCAGACCCACCATGCAGTTCAGTTCTACTCTGTTAACACATATGGTCGCCATGAGGCAGAATGTACTTGGGGGCAAAGGGTTGGCTTTTCTGGTACGTCTGTGATGGCTTTGGTGAGAAATCCACCTTCTAGAGGGACAGCTGGCCTCTTTCCTGGGGGTCTTGAATCCCTTCTGATTAGGCCAGGGGTCCCAGGCCACCCCTCTTTCACATGACCTCTCTAGTATATTCATTTTCATTCTTCCAAGCTGTTGGGATGATGAGCTCTTGGCATTTAACCCTTCGGAAAAAATCCCTTCTTGGGCTCTTGCTGGAAAGCCCCAAAGGGAGGGAACAAAAGGATCATAAATCTGCCGGAGTAGACCTGGGCCCCAGTTGGCTGCAGAGCCAGCAGAGCTGGTAGAAAGGTCCTGGTTACTTCTGTCACTGTTGGTGCCTCTGCCCCATAGCTGCCAATCTGGATGCCACACAGAATCCTCTCCCCCTATAAAGTTTTCAGAGGAAACTCAAGCTACTTATTGATCCCTGAGAGTTTCCATGAGTAGCTACCAGTAGCTTTTACCAGCTTTGTTTGTTTTTGCTTTTAATGTTCATAAAAGCTACTACTGATATTTGAACATCTTTGTGGGTTCTTTCCGTTGCTGGAACAGAAATGCATTGTTATGTACAACAGAAATGTACTAGTGTGTCCCTGTAATTGTACACACCTACACACGCAGCCTTCTGTTTATAATCTCTCTCCCCATCTTTTTGCCCTCAACCTTATAATAAAACCATTCATCTGTCACTCTGCTGGACTACGTGATGTTTTTAAAGTAGAGTTAGTCATTGCAGTTGTTTCCCCAGGGTAAAAAGATTGTTTGGAAATGGCATTTTTAAAAGAGGAAAGCTGGCTAGGCAGGGAATGCAACCCTCGAAATGAGAAATTAGGGGGAAAAAAAAAGCTCTGATTCTTTTAGAGAAATGTTTACTCTCTGATGTCCCCAGCCACCTAGCCCCAGCGACGACCAAGCCTTCCGCCCTTTATCTATCCAGGTGTCTTAATTCGACATACGCTTTGTAAGGAAAGAAAAACTGGTCTGAAAACAATTTTTCAGATGCGGTGATTATCCGTCTGCATAAACCTCACCTCGTCAATTTTCCCTTACACACAGCGAGGCGTGAATAAGAATGTGTGTTTGACGCCGCGGGGTGGGGCTGGGAGAGGCGGAGACATGTCCCCGACACCGGAGCAGACCAGGGGCGAGGAAACCTCAGTGCGGGACCTGCGGCGCGGTCCCTTCCGGGCAGGTCCGAGGGGCGCGGGCCGAGGCGAGAGGCACAACTGCCTGTCGCCGAGGGGAGAGGGCACCGACACCCGCGCAGGGGACCATCCTCTGCATCCAGACCCACGCCGGTCCCCTCCGGTGTTTACGCACCGACAGCCGCCCTCGTCTACGCGCGCATCACCGGCCCACGCGCTCGGCCTCCCCTCCCAGAACCCGAGGCGCTCGGCCCCGGCCCGCGCAGGTCTTCGGCGGCGTCTTTAAGGCCGCGGTCCCCGCCCCTGCCTCCTCCCTCCTCCGCCCGCCGGGCTCCTCCCGACTCGCCCGAGAGCCGGCGGCGCGCGGAGCAGGTGCCGGAGCCCGCGCATGCCGCAGCCGGGCCAGGGGTGGTAGCGGCGCCGGGCGCGCTCCGGGCCGCGCGGGGACATGTCTGTGGTGACGGGCAGCAGCGAGGCAGCCGGCGGGGCCGGCGGCGGAGGCGCGCGGGTCTTCTTCCAGAGCCCCCGGGGCGGCGCTGGCGGCAGCCCCGGCTCTAGCCGCGGCGCGGACTCCTCCCGGGAGGGCTCGGCGCCGGTGGCTCCGGCAGCCGGCGGCGGGCAGCCCCAGCAGCAGCAGCGGCGCCACCAGCAGGGAAAAGTGACGGTGAAATACGATCGGAAGGAACTGAGGAGGCGACTGGTGCTGGAGGAGTGGATCGTGGAGCAGCTGGGTCAGCTGTACGGCTGCGAGGTACCAGGGCGCGGAGCTGGGAGGGTCCAGGGCCTCCCTCGCCCCACTGGAGCCATCCAGCGGTTCGCCGGGCTCCAGCCCCCGGGACTCAAGCCTGGACCCCAGGGGCCGAGCTCTGGGAACGAGGCGCGGCGCGCTCTCTCCCCGGGGTGCTCTCTGGCGCCAGGGCGCAGCGCTTGGGACGCCCCTGCCTGGGGGTTCAACTGCCGGGTGCTGGGGGAGCTGCGGGCCCCCCTGATAGCGGTGCAGAGGGCCGGATCCTGTGGAGCGCCTCGCTCTTCTCTGAGCCGCGGGCGCTTCTCGGCCCCAGCTGCAGTTAAAGGGAGCTGGGCTTAAAGGTGGCTCATCCCGGCTGAGCCCAAGCAGCGGGTGGTGATCCCGGCAGCCCCGACTTTTGGGGGAGGAGGAGAGGCGACCTGAAAGCTGTGTAACCGAGGGAAGAGGTTATGGGAATCTGCGAGGCCCCTTTGGTTCTTAAATTTCCATCAAAATCTTGAGATGATGGTCTTCTTTTTCCAGCCAGTCCCGACGCGCGTCCCCGTAATTCGTCCTTGCACTACCCCAGCCACACACGTTGCGCTTTGTGGAAAACCGCTTGCCTTTTCACTTCCCAAGGCCAGTTAAGCTCGCAGTCCCGCGCAGGAGAGCCTGGGGCAACCTTGAAGGCGTCCAGGGGGACTGTGGCTCGCTCTGCGGGTGGCATGCGGGCTGCGCGGGGGGGTCTGCCAGCTCCGGGCTGCGCTCCAGGCTCCCGCGTCCGCCGCACATTGTGACTTTCCACAGTCCAGAAGCTCAGGCATGACCTCAGTCTGACTGGCAGCGATGTGCGGAGAAATGTTTCGAATAAGCTACAACAGACGTACGCTACAAAAATGACCAGAAGCCAAAATACTCCCCCAGGGGAGTTTTTAATAACAGCGATTCTGAATGAAGTGTTTGACTTCTCTTAAGTGAGTGGAATTTGGAAAGGGTAGAAGCGTAAAGGTGATTAATAATTAAGGATTTGGCTTCTTAAGTTAAAGCTAGATTTGTGTTCATCCAACTGTTACGCTCTTTGGCAGAAAATGAAAGCCAGACCAACTCACTGGCTTCATCACTGTTTCTCAGAATTAAAGAAAGGGATTATTTCTCTTTCACACCTTTTATGGCCTATTGTGAACACATGTTTTCTTGAACATTGCCATCACACAGGAAAACAGCATTCTCGTTATGGACTCCTGATGAGTGATTATAATATAATGAAGCTTGACTGTATGACTAATGGGCTTATAAAAATACACTGTTTCTGCAGCCCAGCTCATATATATGTATGCAAAGCCAGTTTAATTGCATAAATAACAACTGGCAGAAATAGAAAATGTTCCTGGGATTTTTAAAGTAAGTTGGTGAAACTCTGCAGAGAAACAATATATTTGATTTAGGTGGGATTACGTTTGGATGGATGGGTGTGCTCAGTCTTGCCTCCATAGAGTCCAATTAACCAAGGTTCTGGCACGTGTTTCTTCCAGGCTTTATGCTCCATTTTGGGTTTGGAGAAGATTTGAGTTAATAGAAAAACTCGTTGAGGTTGACAGTGATTTCCAAACCAAACCAAACTCACTGCCTTTGAGTCAGGTCCAACTCATAGTGACCCCTCCTTGGGTTCCCGAGGCGGTATCACTTTGGAGGTAGATTGCTCAAGCTTCCTTCCGAGCAGTGTCTGGTGGGTTTGAACTGCCAGCCTTCTGGTTAGCAGTCAAATGCCTTAGGCACTACGCCTCCAGAGGTTCTGACAGTGATTTAGCATTGCTTATTTCCTGGGAGACTACAAGAAGTTTGAGTCTCTCAGCAGGTATGCAGATCATCTGTGGTATTTAAAAAATTCTTCAGAATAATACGGAAAAATTGGATTTGGAATTTTCACTATATTGAGCCTGTAGGTTACATACATACTTTAATGGGTAAGTATGACCTTGATGTTTTTCCTTGTCCTTTTTTTTTTGTGGGTTTGAGACCTTCAACCCACAGCAAGTAGCTAGAGATTTGAAAGTGGGATTAGTGGTGAAATAATACAGGCAGTGTTCTGTGGGACACTGCTTGCATGTCATTAAAGGGTGGCAGGTATTTCTCTTCAAGACACTTGTTCTGCCGTTTTAGGCTGAAGGAGTAGAAATCATGGGGAAAGTAGGTCATGGATATATGATAATACATCTTTATTTAATAATAAAAACATGTAGTTTAGTAAGTAGCCACACAAAGGATTATGGACACTGTTCCCCATTGATAGAGTTCAATTTTTAACTTAGGTTCTTTTGTCTGGTGGTCTTTGCATAGCTTCGAGTTTTTTGTAGGTTTGGTTTGTTAATCTAGAAAGACCTAATCTGGTTTATAGCTCCGAACCTCATGAATAGAAAGATTGGGAATGTCCTTTTTACATGTAAAATCAACAGCTTTTGAATAGTTTTTGAATGTTTATCCTATGAAATCAACACTGAAAACCAATTTGCCAAACTTCAAACTGGCCACAGGCCTGAGTAATCTGCTGAGTTGGGGTGGAAGATGAACGAACGTGTATTTGATTTCAGAAGAGCTTGTACCAGGCAGTTCAGCTATTAGGTGACTTGTCCTTTTCAGAATATAAAATAATGATCTTTTGGAATAGTGCAAGGCATAATATTTAATATTAGAAGGGAGTGGGAAAGAAGAAATACACAGAACAGCTCAGCGGTGGTCTTATCTAGAAGTCTGAAGTGGCTGACCAGTTTTGTATGGAGAATAATAATAGTCAACACTTGTGGAGTACCAGTTGGGTACCCTGTGCAGCGTGGTTCTACTTTGACACACATGGGGGCTTGGTAGATGATCAGGGATTTCTGGGGCATTAGAGACCCGGAAAGGAGCCCCGGTGGTGCAACCGTCAAGCACTTGGCTGTTAACCAGAAGGTTAGCGGTTCGATCCCACCAACAGCTCTGTGGGAGGAAAGACCGTAAAGATTATAGCCTGGGACTCTCTCCTATAGGGTGTCTATGAGTTGGAATCGACTTGACAGCACACAATGAGAATAACAGGGACCCAGAGAACAGCCTAAAAGGAAGTGGAGGGACACAGCTTCTGGATGGCTAAGCTAACTTGTTCGTGGGAACAGTTAGCTCCATGGTGGCAGGTGGGGGACCCAGGACTACCCCAGTCTAAGAGTGGGATTGTTAAACACCACACGATTCAGCCCTTTGGGTGAATAGTTAATGTTTTTTTTTGTTTATCAGATTGTACCGTGGAGTTCCTAGTGGCACAGAGTGCTTGACTACCAGCTGAAAGGTTGGTGGGTGGAACCTACTCAGAGGCATCTCTGAAGACAGGCCTGGTGATGTGCTTCCATAAGGCCACAGCCTTGAAAACCCTGTGGAGGACAGTTCCACTGTGACACACGTGGGTCGTCATGGGTCAGAATCGACTCAGCAGCAACTGACAAAACAACAACAAAATGATTAGTTCTGAGTTTTCCCATTTCTTCTCATAGGAATACTTGGGAAGGTAGTTAAAGTTTCAGATGGGAAGTAGGATATAATAGACTTTGTTAGGTTAAATCTAAAACCATATTTAAGGATTTCTCTTTCATATCTTTTCTAACCCTGATGGTTTTAAGAGCACTTGATGTCCATAGAGGTGTCTCCTTCTGCAAGTACTGCCATGTGACTTACTGGGTGAGTCATATCAGTTTTCCCAATCTTGCCCAACATCAAGATAACACCGATATGTCCAGTTTTGCAATTTGGTGTGCCTTGGAAATGAAAGCATGTTGCTAACCTCAGATTGGTGAAGTGCCAATAGCAGCCTTGCCTGACTGGTGTGCCTGGGGTAATACTTGATGACTGTCTGTTTAGGAGGTCTTTCCCTGTCCTTCAGCAATCTGCTTTTAAAATGATGGTTTCTGGCATATTACAGCTCCTCACTCTTCCCCATCTTCTTATCATCCCTTTTTGCAAAACAACGTTTTTCAAAGTTTCTGATGGTGATTCATGTAAAGAAATGCTCTACACTGCTGCCTGACACAAAAAATAATAAAAACAAACTCATTGCCATCAAGTTGATTCTGACTCATAGCGACCCCCTTTGGGTTCCCAGGCAGTAAATCTTTATGGAAGTAGATTGCCCAGTCTTCCTTCTGCGGAGTGGCTGGTGGGTTTGAACCCCCAGCCTTCTGGTTAGCAGTCAAATGCCTTAGGCACTACATCACCAGAGCTCCTGACACATACACAGACACATGCCCGTATGAAAGCAGAGATTTACAAAGCGATACTTCCTGTTACTATGTAGGCTAAAGAAAACATTACAAAAGTAATAGAAAATATGGCTTCATGAATGTTTTTGTACAACATTCTAGTCTATTTCATTTTCTAACAAGGCTGCTAAATTGATACCATAGCACACAGTTATGCATTGTGACCTGCAGTTTAAAAAAGTGCTGCTCTAGAAAGAGGAAAAACTAAACATAAATAATAGAAATTATTGTTATTTATTGAATGCTTTCTATGTATTAGGTGTGGTCCATGCAATCCCAGTAACAACCTCTGGTTCTCCCATTTTATAGATGAAGAAACTAAGGCACAGAGAAGTCAAGAACCTGTCCAGGAGCCCTCAGTTGGGCCTTGGCAGAGCTATGAACAGGAAGTCAGGTGCACCTTAACCACGGCACCATGCTGTTTCCTGAGGTAGTACAAAGCCTGGGACCTTCTGTGAACCCCATAGCCTGCCTAGTCCTCAGATAAGGCTGTTGGAGCTTCTCACTTGACTGTACTGAATATAAGAGGACACTACCCACAAGCCACTCCTCGGAAGGAAGGTTGGGCAATCCTACTTCCGTAGTGATACTGCCTCGGAAACCCAAGGAGGGGTCGCTATGAGTCGGGTTTGACTCGACGGCACATAACAACAACAACAACCAGGGGGTGTGTTCTTGTATTTGGAGAAGGCCTATACTTTTAAATTCAGGTCTTTGTTTGGCATGTAGTGGCACAAATGG